TGGTAAAAGAGTATCCCAAGAGTTGGCGGTGGGTGGTGATGACTAGCTGCCTTCCCTCTTGTCTTACACTGCTAAATTAGGGACGGCTAGCGCAGATAGCCCTCGTGTAGCTTTGCGCGAAATGGTTTCAGTTTCAGTATTTTATTTTGCAAGCTCATTATGACGCATTTGCAAAACTTTGCTAACAAACGTAATCCGGGTCCACTCTTCGTGTAGAAAGAGAAAATAATAAGTTTAACGTCGTGGAAATTGCAGATTTTGTCTGTAATTTCCTTTAGGTAAAAATCACTGTGTTTGAATATATGTTGTGGAAAAGAATGTTAATAATCAACCAGGCTATATTATTATGTTATGAAAAACTGAACAATTTTTTCTATGTAGATTTCTTTAAAGTAATTATTGATAACTTCCATCTGAACAACTTCAACTTAATTGGGTTGTTGGAACTTAGATATGTCACTGGCTACAACTTAATGGAGTTGTCGGAATTAAGATATGTCCTTGGTAGTAAATGTACTGAACACTTTCCCGTTTCTTTCTAAATATAACTTTACCGAGTCATGTAACATAAACCCGAACCGTGGCCTTCTGGAATTCCTGACTGCACTTGAATAACTATAACCCTGGGGAGTGTTCGAATCCCCAACCACAATAAATATCTCCCCTTTATCCGGTACGCTGTAGTGTTGGCTGGCTCTCGTGAACTCGATCTTATCTTCCTCCCTCACCTTTCAAAATAGCGTTAGTAATTTATCACACCACAGTTTGTATTTAACTCCTAGTGAATGGATGGGAAGCGAAACGTTACTTATAAATCACGTCCTCTAACTTAACAAAAACGAAAACACCAGTTGGTGCTTTCTTCGAACACGCTCAAAGTAGGAAATTAAATGGCTAAGTCTTGCACGAGCGCGTGTTTTTGATTTACAACAAATGTATGGGTGCGGGTTAGCCTCGTGGTAGAGCGCTGAATTTTAGAGCTGGCTAACCAGATTCGAATTCGTGCAATACCACAAAATATCCCCCCCCCCATTCACACACTGGAAGATGTGGATGTATTGTAAGAGTAACAGTCAATCTTTTAGCGTGGATGATGAGTGATAGGGTATGTTGACTGGCTGTATTCCCTCTGGTCAATAGTTCAAGTAAAGGATGGTTACCTTAGTAGCTTTACCGTTAATTCAAAATAAAAATACAAATAAATTCAAGGTGACAGTGAATTATAATAAAATAAGAATGTTTATAAAGTTATATTAAAACTAAGGTTCAGAGTAACTACGTGCTGCTATTGTTGTACGTTAGTACTGTCAACGTGTTTAGGAGATGGGCTCACTCACAGGAGGAAATAGGAACAGAATCACGTTGATTAAACAGGTACATGCTGGATCCTGATTACTTAATGATTAGCCCTGGTATTGGGCGAAAAACCTCATCAGTCCTGGATATAGCAGATATAGTGTGGTTGATATATGATATACATTCTACCGTAGTTTCACTCGGAAATTCTTTGAATTATATTTACATGTTTTCACATATGTAACACATGTTTTCTGTAACGACGTGGCTAGGCTCTAGAACGTTTTTGTTTAACGTAATAAACCTCCGTATACCTCGACTTATTATTTACATATTACATAAACGAAATTGTTGTGGTTGGTTATAGATTTTTTTTTAAATAAATAAAATGCATAACGTACCACGTAAACATAATACATAAATTGTCTAACACTTATTCAACGTATAAAATAACTTTCTGATGCACTAAATTCGTGATTAACTTTCTAGTTTTATGTGTTGACAAACATTCATTTTAATAATTAGAAATAAACTCACCAAAATCAGTAATTATATAAT